ATTTAAACAAAATTGTATAAATTGTTGACAAAATATAATTTTCTACTAATTTCATGCCGACAGCGAAACACTTATCAAGTCTACACTTTTGACAACACTTTCGTGTTTTGGTAGTTATTATGCATTTTCCGTTCAGATGACAATCAAGATGTCTCTGTAATTAAAATTAATAAAAGTAAATTTTAAATGATTATAAGTAATTTTAAAAATTAACTAACATAGTCCTTGGTGACAACGCGTCTAAAAAAGGCTTTACATGTTTCGCAAGTGACGGCCCCATAATTACGACCTGTATATAAATAGACACCAGCACATATCAAATATTAATAGTAAACTCAATATAAATAATTAAAATTTTGAAATATTAGTTTAAGTACTGAGATTATTTACTTACCAACTATTTTTGTATCACCACAGATTTGACAAATTTTATTTGTTTTATTTCTATTCATTTTACCAAGATTTATGAAAAATAAAATGCACAGGTTGAAATATTTAGTAAAATGATATAATTATAAGCGTTAGAACATTCTATTATCGAGTATGTGTTAGATATAATAATACACAAGTTTAATAAATATATATTAATCAATAATTATTCACAGAATATAAAACAAACTTAATGTTAAAATACAGTTCAATGAAATAATTTTACATAACACATGAATAAGTGTTGTTACTAGTAACATTTGGTAGAGTNTCTGGGCATGTTATATATCAAACAAAACCCTAACTATTCCTCTATAATTTGGTGAAGGAATCAATTAAAAATAATACAGGGTGTTCAAATAAACGAGAATCAAAATGGTATTGTTAATTAAAGGCTACCCTGTAGCAATAGGCATGTGCATTGAAATAATTGAAATAATGTCATCATAATATTGATGTTTCATACGGACAACTACTATGAATGTCAATAAACTATATTTTATTTTTACTCAATTAAAGTTATTTATTAAAAACGCATAAAAATAATATTTGCATAAAATAACTTTATTTTACAGAGTTGTTTATTTTACACAATATACATATGAATTTACTAGGAATTTATTAACAGGTTTATATTGACTGTAACTATTATTACAGCGTATATACAGGGTATTCTGTAGTGCAAATCATACACCGAGACCTTCACCGTAATGATTGCAATATTATTGCCTAATGAATGACTACTTTCTTAATGACACTCAACAACCTTTTAATGAATAAAATGATAAAGCAATTGCCTATCTTATATAAAATACATCTACATACAAATATTAATTTATACAATATTTCAAATTTCTTTAAATTAAGTTTCATTGCAAAATATTAATCATAACAAGCACCATATATATTTACAAATTATAAATTATATATTTCTCTGAAAAGTGGTCCAAAATACTGAATAAGTTGTTTGTATTCTCGCACACTGTGAGCCAGATCCAATTCACTTATAACATGCAAATCAATTAAACTCGTCATTACTGATGATAACATGGATTGCGAGTCCGAATTTGGTCCATATTTTAATTGTAGATACCTTTGCAATAAATATATGTATAGATGCTGTTCCAGTCTAACCATTGAGCATTTTTAAAGAAATTAATTATTAAGAAATTCAAATAAATCACAAAATTTAAACTCACTTAACTTTGTGTCTATGGGTTAGGTGGGGGCGATTCGGGTTGAATAACAAGATAACCGTCAACTTTATGTAAATAAAAGTGTTCAATAATTATATATATTGTTTATATATTATATGTATACTGTAATACATGTATAATATGAATAAATTCTTACCAGTGAAATGAGTATTTTATCATCAAAGTTTATATTTAATATAACGTTGTCAACCATTGCGCTAATCCTAGTATAAGCACCAGTACATGAATCACATTCACCGTAATCCCAAACATCTTCACTAATGAGACCAGTCTCACCATTATCCTGGTAAATATCAATAGAGTTTTATAAAAATATTTAATATATTTAAGTTACATAACTTATGCCACTAACCAATGGCATTAATATATTCTCGTTTTGTTTATCATAATATTTAAATAATATAACAATCGCCAATTCGTTGTAACCATATTTGAATAATGATATTTGATCCTCGGTACAAATAGTTTTAAATCCACTCAAATTTTTAGTAAAAGTAATCATGTCTTTAATAAGACTTTCATTGATATTTGTAGATTTTTTGCAAAATTCTTCCCGGGTGTTTATTAAATGTCTTTTTTGTGACAATTGATAGTTACACACATTAGAAGCGCTCATTATTTCCCTGATCCTATTTCTCTCCAATTCATTCATACCGTTATAATCGGTTAACTCCTTATACATAGGGACTAATGAGTAAATACGTTGAGATCTACTTATTATATCCGATAATAAACTCCCGTTTTTAACATTTGTATTAATTGTGATCACATTTTCAATTCCCATACTCTGATCACTAACACTGTTGTCATTAATATTTACGGACTTTTCTAACAAATCACTTAAAACTTCGTTTCCAAAGTCGGTATCATTTGTTGAGTTAGTGTCTGGAGATGTCATACAATTAGTCCTTTCTTTATGTAGTTTTCGTTTTAATTTGTTTTCTCTAAGCATTTGTTTTTTCAATTCATTTTCCTCTCCATTCCGTATGAATTCCTAACAAATTATTTTATAATAAAATTAATATAATAAAACTTTTAATTAATAAATTAAATAAATTAATACTTTTTTCATTCCCACAGTAAGGCATTTCTCAAGTCTACACTTTTGACATATCTTTCTGGTCAATGAGTTTATAATGCATTTGCCATTTGATGGACATATTAATGGCTATATTAATACGAGAATATTTAATAGTGCATGTTAATTTAAATATAAATTATTAATACTTTATTTTTAAGTCCAGTCCGCCTAAAAAATGCTTTGCATGGTTCACAAGTTATAGCCGTAAAATTTCTACCTGTATAAATAGAGTAAAAGTAGAATATTTTGTGATAATTATTAACTACTAATAAAAATATTATCTGTTAAATAATATACCGATTGCTTTGTCCCCACAAACCTCACAAATTTTCACGATTTTATTATCACTCATATTATTAGTTAATGAATATTAATAATTATATTATTTCAAATAATATTTGTGTTTTAGTTCAAAATTTATTTATTTAAAATACAATTTGTTATGAAATTAAAAATATTATACAAATAATGTATTTTTAATTTAGATAAACTATCAATACTTTATTTACGAGTCCAGTTCGCCTAAAAAATGATTTGCATGATTCACAAGTCATAACCGTAAAATTTCTACCTGTATAAATTGTAAAATTAGTTCAAATTTTATTATAATTTATGACTATCCATAATAATAATTAATTATTAAATAGTATACCGATTGCTTTGTCTCCACAAACCTCACAAATTTTCACGATTTTATTATCACTCATATTATTAGTTAATAATTATTAATATTTTAATTATTTTAATAATAGTCGTGTTTTAGTTCAAATTTTGTTCATTTAAACACAATTTAAAATTGAATATATATTTTGTAGCCACATTAAAAAGATTATACATTTATTTAATAGCTCCTAGGCTACATAATAATTTATCAAACTTCCTGATAAGGCGTTTTATGAAATTTGGTACATTACATAAATGACAATAACTTAGCAATGTTATCATTTATTATGTTAAATTTTACAGTTAAAATTATTATAACAAAGAGTTAGTCTAATTTTTATTGAAAATATTTTTAAATGTTATATATATGAGCATTTTAATAGTATTTTTGCATATGAATTAGCATTCATATTAAACAGGGTATATTTCCCTCATCAATGGTCCGAAATAGTGTATATATTGCCGGTATTCCTGCATACCATGCGTTAACTCTAATTCACTCACAAAGTGGACGTCCATTAACATTGTCATCAGTTTTTGTAACATTGTTTGCGATTCTGGTTTTGATCGGCATTTCAATAGTAAATATCGCTGTAGTAAATAAATATAAAGTTGCTGCTCTAGTCTAATAAATATACGAAAATAAATAACATTTATACAGAATATTCTGTATTCTAGTGGACTCTTACTTGACATTCAGTTTATGCGAGAGGTTAGGGCGGTTTGGGTTGAAAAGTATGATTGCCTTTAGCTATAATTAAATAGAAATGAGCGTAAATAAATAATTATTTTAATTATTAATTAGTTTACGTACCAATAGTATGATAGTCATATCGTCGCAAATGAAACTTAACAAAATGTCATAGGCATATTTCTCAACCATTTGTCGTATACTATAATCACCAAACTTAAATATATCCGTTTTTACAAATCCAGATTGATTGTTATCCTGGAAATAAGATTAATATTATAAATGAGTTTTAATATACAAGCTAATTTCTTAAATACGTACTAATGGCACCAAAAAGCAATCGCTTTCCCTGATATAGTACTTGCAATAGTAAATACACGTCAACTCGTTGTAGCCGTACTTGAATAGTGCCAACTGGTCATCCGGGCAAATGTTTGTAAACCCATTTAACTTAGTAATAAAGCTAGCCATGTCCTTTATAGACTTCTCGTTTAACTCCACTGAATGTCGCATCCATTCCTCCAGACTTTTTATATGACGAGTATTTTGTGTCAATTGTGCGCTGAAGACATGGGAAGCGCTCATCAGTTCGTTGATCCGATTGGACTCCAATTCATTCAAACCGTTATAATCATTGAGTTCTCGGAATATAGGAATTATTGTCATATTATCGGAGAGACTATTATTATCTTCTGATTTAGCATTTGATTTAAATGTTGAGTAATTTTCAAGTTCCGCGATCATGTGTTGGATTTCATGATCACTGATTGGATCACTCAATAAATCATTTAATATATCACTTCCGAAGCCTTCGACAGAATCCATTGAATTTTCTAATGATTTATCAGTCAATGAAACGATAGATTTTGTCTTATTATGTAGTTTTCGTTTGATTTTGTTTTCACGTATCAACTGTTTTCTCAATTCATTTTCTGCGGCATTTCGAATAAATTCCTGTGAATTGAATTAAATTACTATAAGAATATTCTGGCTATTTATAAAAGTACCTTTTTCATTCCTACCAACAAACACTTGTCTAGTCTACACCGTTTGCATATATTTCTCGTCAACGGATTGATATGACATTTGCCATTTGATGGACAAACCAATAACTCCTTAAATGTAAAGTTAGATTATATATATTAATATTAATAATAATAATAATAATCTAAAAGTTGAATATAATTAAGAAACCTGATCCTTGTTGGCAAACCTCCTAAAAAACCCCTTACACGACTCGCATGTAATTACGCCAAAGTTCCTGCCTAAATATAAATTAATTATCCAAGTTAAATTTTTATAAAATAAACCATTTTAAAAATATTACCAAATCCAATATCGTTACAGACTTCGCATGATTTATTCATTTTTAAATAATTTTTAAAAATAAATTATAAATTATAGTTTAGATTTTAAAATGACTAATTTTATTGACTTGTTCATTTAATGTTGCATTCATCTAAATATAACCAGTATTATAGAAAATAACATTTTAGACAATAAACATAAAACAGACCTCAGAAATGATTACACAATAAAAATATCTTAATTTCTCAAATAAGATCATTAGAAATAAACAATTGTTATCTTATCAATCATCTTAATGTAGTTATGGTAAATAAAATGAACCGGGAATTTTAAATATACACTATTGCTTGAATTTTAAAAAGGAAATATAATACCGCTTATAAAATACACTTTATTTAAAGAGTATTTTTAATTAGTCGACACATCTGTACAACTGGTCTATAATAGCGACTTAAATACAGTTTTCAAAAAAGTAAATTTTGTCAATTACAATTGAAAGTGCCGTTACCATGAACAATTTCTGCATTACTATATGGATAGCACTGATCGTGGGTATGTATGTGGGCTGTAGCCCACTTGCCCTATGGCCAGGGTCGGCCTACTTGACCAAATTGCGAGCCATCAATAATGACGGTGAGGACGTCCTCTGGCGACATAAGCGTAACGCCGACTGCAAGTATTGGTCGGACAACTCATTTTGTGGGCCCCCACACGACATGCGGTGCATTGATCACTCATGTGTCTATAAGCCTGGGGTCACACATGAAGATGACGATGGTAGACATAACAATCCCCGATTGAATGATATTATCAATAATAGAAGTAATGAAGACTACTGTGAGTTCCCGCTCCGCGACAATAAACCCTGCGGTCCACCCGAGTCTGACATGAAGTGCATTCATTACAAATGTACGAACGCTGAAGCCATTAGCACTGTCACTACTGAAGTTAGTACCGCTGCCAGTCCCGAAACCAATCCAGTTGCTAATCCCGAAGTTAGTACCGTTGCTAATCCCAAACCTAATCCAGTTGCTACTCCCGAAGCCAATCCGGTTGATAATCCTGAAGTTAGTACCGTTGTTATCCCTGAAACCACTCCCGTTGCTAATCCCGAAGCCAATCCCGTTGATAATCCCGAAGTTAGCACCGTTGCTAATCTCGATGCTAATCCAGTTGCTAACCCCGAAGAAAATCCCGAAGTTAGCACCGTTGTTAACCCCGAAGTTAGCACCGTTGTTAACCCCGAAACCAACCCCGTTGCTAATCCCGAAGTTAGCACTGTTGCAAATCCCGAAGCCAATCAAGTTTCTAACCCCGATGGTAGTACGGTTCCTAATCCCGAAGCCAATCCAAATGCTAATCCCGAAGTTACTACCTTTGCTAATCCCGATGCAGTGACCGATGCATTTACCGAAGTTACCGGTGCATTGGCCGATGCATTGATCGAAGGCGTTAAAAATGATAATCCGTTAATCCTTGACCAAAGATAATGTACGCTTGAGGGGAGGTCTTGATATGCGCAAGATTTCAACTATGGGGTCAATTTTAAGCCCATTTTTGCATAATTACTTTGTAAATAACGCCTTATACAATTAAACATTGTAAAAAATATAAATAAATTTTTCAAGCAATACAGAATATTGTGGACACATGGTTTTAGTTTTCACAAAACTATTTATTTGTGACACGTGGTTCACTAGACTCACCAGTCATAATTAATATTTCAATATTTAATGATTAAATGTTTTTATTTTATTATGGTACATGTATTTAGATTCTAGTGAAAGTAAGCTAGGTGTAGTATATCTCCCTCCAAAGTGGTCCAATATATTTCATATACGGCTCCTTCAGTATTACTTTATAATCAAATTGATTCAATAAATTCATTTCGTTTAATAAATACATAAATCTCTGTATTTTTTCTCGCGACTCAGTGTCCGATCGATACTTCAAATGCAAATACCTTTGCATAAGATATACATAAAGTTGTCGCTCCAGCCTAACAAACAATAAATTAAAATTAATTTTTATCAAATTTTAAAATCAAAAAAATTATAACACTTACTGAACGACATGTCTATGCAATAGGTTGGGTCGGTCTGGGTTAAATAGTATGATTGCCATTAACTAAAAATTAAATGAACTATTAGAGGTTTGAACAAGGTGTTAATTACGATTTACCAATTCTGTAGCTATAGTGTCGCTGTAATCGCAGTCCGATAAAAATTTGTCGAAATAATATTTCAATAATTTATTGTATTGGAAATTATTATGATGATTGAAAATGCTCAGATTCATTTCCAGTGTCAAGTCCGTGGTCTATGTGTATAATAATATACTTTAATACAGTGTCGCAGTCCATGATAAATATTGTAAAAAACTATTACAAACCACAGGTATTACGAAGCATTCGGTGTGTCTGTCGTAAAACCTGAGACACCGAAATGAATTCAAATCATATGAGCCGTACTTAATGAGTGCCAACTGGTCCTCTGAACAGATATTATTAAAACCATTCAAACACTTGGAATACGAGACTATATTCCTAACCATATTGTCGTTCACATATGAATAGTCTTTCAATAAATGCTCCAAACTTTGCATTTTTAATATAAACTCCTTTTTAACCGCCGGAGTACTAAATATATTTGCCGCGCCCATGAGCTCAGTAACCCTGGTGCACTCCAATTGATTCAGACCCTTGTAGTCTACTAACTCCTTATAAATTATCAATTTATGGGACTTATTTTTAACAGGATCAATTTGTGTTTCTAATTTGTCTAGATGTCTCTTAACGTTTAAATAGTTTTCAATTTCCATAATCTGTTCATTCAAGTCCTCATCACTTATGTGAACAGAATCGTCAAATAGTTTAATCAAAAAATCATTATCTATTTTTAGATCTAGTAATAAATCTTTGCTTGATGAAGTACTAGTTGATGAATGTATTGTAAGATCTGCTTGCTCACTTTCTTGTTGTTGTTGTTTTAACTTATTTTCTTTGATTAATTGTTTTCTCCGTTGATTTTCTTCAGTACTTCGTATAAATTCCTAAAACATGAGGAAAATATGATAAAATATACAGATATGACATAAAATATACCTTTCTCATCCCGACAGCTAAACATTTATGAAGCCTACATTTTTTACATACACCTCTCGTTAGTTGATTGATATTACATTTGCCATTTGAGGGACAATTATATGACTAAACATTTTGAAAGATAAGTTAATTCAAGTTAACACAAATACTAACATATATTTTACCTTATTCATACGACCCGAGCGTCTAAAAAATGATTTACACGATTCACAACACATCACACCAAAGTTCCTGGCTATTTACATTTTATAAACAATTAACTATTACGAGTATAAATATAAAACATTGCTGAATTACCAATGCCTTTATCGCCACAGACTTCGCAAATTTTATTACACTTATTATTATTCATAGTGTTGTCCACAATTATGTTTTGCTTTTGAATTATCTAATTTTTTATTTTAAATATGATTTGTTTAAGGAAAATTATATAAATCACAATACTATTTGCTTTTAGACACCATTTATAAAATTATGTTAAATACAGTGTTTCAAAACAAGTTTGAGAGGTTTGTTATCACATCATACGGTACATGCAACTAATCAAATAATGACACTTTAATTAATATGACATTGATTTTATAAACGATAAATAAAGTTTTAAAAATTTCATACAAAAATATTACTTTTTATTATATCCTTTTTAAGCCTAATTATAAATCCTGAATATCTCTCATAAATGGCCATAATATTGAATCAAAGGCTTATAATCCGAGCCATTTTTACTCCGAATTGAAATCAACAAGTATCAAGAAATGACAGTAATTAATATGACATTGATTTCATAAACGATAAACTAATATCGTGCAGTATAATATATTTTTATTTACTTATAAAATAAATTACATATAATATAACTATTTATTCTGTAACTTTTATCAAAAATTATTTTATAAGAGATTTGTGATAGAAATGATTAACAATTTATAATATAACCTGCCACATTCACCCGTACATACACTGCTGAAAACTATTAAAACATGCAGTTTATAAGGCGCGCTATCGAGATAGCATATTATATGAAGAATAAGTACAGAATATTCTGTTATTCTTATACCAGTTTAGCTATCAATACAATAGTTATTCAATGTTTATGGGGTTTTAATTAAATGAGTGCAAATAACGTTTGATGTAGACATGAATTGATGTTTATTGACTTGTGATCTAAAATAATTGTTATTATAATGGCATTTGTTAACACAATTGTAATATTTAATCTATAATTAAAATATATTACTGAAAATGATATTTTTAATAACTTTCTAAAGTATAAAACAAATTGAGTCTTATTGACAATTATATTCTCATTTTTCAATGTCTAAATAAATTAAAATTATAGCAAAATGCTTTTAAAAATTTAACTTTATTTTATATAAAAAATGTGTAAAATACAATTGTTTTTGTAGTCCTAAATTAAAATTTAAAAATAAAGTCCTAATAAATGTAAATCCTATTCAGATTCCGTTGCAACTGAAGGACAGAATTTGATTTTTATCGGTCGGATCCCAATGACGAGACAATACCACTGAAGTGCAGACTTCACTCCTCTATACAATTCAATAGTCATTACAATTAGTGTTTTTAAGACTATATCATAAATGTCCAAAAAAGTGGTACAAACGTATGATACTTACAATAACTTTACACGGCTTCAAGTCAGTGACATGTTTGGCGCAATCGGTTTCATTGACTTCAAGGGTTATGTAAAACTTTTCACCGGATACTACTTGCGACTGAGCCTTCAATACCTTTCCCATTGCGATGGCATGAGTGGAGTCTATGGAGCTGTGGATCACATTAAATGCAAAACTGATGGCCTCTTTCACTTCGGGTTGGTTTGGGTCGACATCCTTGACGTCGCCCACAGAGTCTGAGTCGGGGGTTGTCATCGGAAAGGCGTTTAGGCCCACAAACAGCAGACTTAATACGATATAAGTATTCATTTCTATTGAGTTTTAGTATTAATTACTAGTTTAGAAGTTATTTGAATATAACTGTTGAATGTGAATGAAATTCTGTAATTGTTTGGCCTTTTTATATGTGAAACAAATCGGAAAAGTTCTTGATTTGAGATCATAGATCAAGATCATATTTCTCATATTTTAGTTTAAAGTTTAAAGTATAGGATTAAATCTCTTTCTCTTGATTATAGACTCACACCTGTAATACCTCTCATCATTTAATTAAGACATTTATCAGACAATGAAGTGCTATTGAGAACTAAATTATGGATTATGAGATAAAATGATAACAAATTGAACGACAAATGAATTGAAATGTATTTTTGAACCAATGGTTAATAGTACAAGGTATAAAGTTTTATGTAATGCTTTGTATCCCAATAACCGCTAATTATATATTTTGTTAATTAATACATAATTATCGTTAGTAACAGTCTGTTACTATAACTTATTATTTAGGTAAGAATATAACTTTGATCTTGATGGTTTTAGATAATTTATGATTACATAAAATCATTTACTTATTAAAGTAACTAACATGGTACAAACAGCTTAAAAATTCATTTTACAAATCACCAATTGGACAAAGTTTAATTAAATATAACCTAAAAAATAGCAATATTTATGTAAATTAGTATTTATTATTCACCATTTAATACTTATAGACTCTATAAGACTTATATAAGTATAAGTAATAATAATAAGTTATAAAGAATAAAACATTTTTTATTAAAATTTTATTTTTATTGAACCAATTATTTCCATTGTGTTGTCTATTGTAATTAAAATATGTGGAAACCTAAATTCATATAAAGGTTTTTACTTTTTTTGCGATTCAAACACCAAAAAAATTTTATTTATAATACGGACCATTTTTATATTGATTTTAGTTTTATTTAATATTATTTTTAAATAAACTTAATATTAATATGAAAATTTTAAACATGGGATTTGCTTTATCTCATTAGATATAATAATTATACTGTAATTTGTATTTAAAAAAATAAAATTGAATGGTACGTTTAGATTTACCCTCTCTATTTATTATTCAATTATTTCCCTCCAAAGTGGCCCATTATAAAGCATATTTGTTTCCATTGTTGCAGCTTGGTAAGCAAATATTAATGCCTGTAAATTGTGTAACAAAAACATAAATCGTTGTATTTTTTCTTGAGATTCTGCATCCGATCTATACTTCAATCGTAAATATCTTTGCAGTAAATAAATATAAAGTTGTCGCTCGAGTCTAGCAATTATTAAAATAATATTAAATGTTTTACAATTAAAATCAATTAATTTTATCACTCACTGAACAACGTGTTTGTGCAATAGGTTTGGTCGATCGGGATTAAAAAGTATGATTGCCATCAACTGAAAATTTAAAAATCTTTTAAAATCTTAATTTAAAATTAAAATATGACTTACCAATTCAATAGCTATAGTATCGCTATAATCCCAGTCCGATAAAAACTTGTTGAAATAAAATTTCAATATTGAAACGTGTTGAAAATTATTATTATGACTAAATATGTTCGGACTCAATTCCAATGCTAAATCAGTGCTCTATTTGCATAATGAAAAAATAAATGTTAAATTATTTATCTATAAATTCTATTTAAAAACGCCATACCACGGGCAGTACCATGCATTCAGTGTGCATATCGTAAAACCTTAGGTACCGAAATGAATTGATATCATAGATGCCATACTTAATGAGTGATAACTGATCCTCTGTACAGATATTATTAAAACCATTCAAACACTTGGAATACGAGACAATACTTCTAATAAAATTGTCGCACAAATAGGAGTAGTCTTTCAAGAATTGCTCCAAACTTTGTATTTTATACGTAAACCCCTTTTTAGCCGTAGGAGTACTAAATATATTTGAGGCAATCATGAGCTCCGACACCCGATTGCACTCCAATTCATTCAAACCCTTATAGTCTACTAATTTTTCATAAATTATCAATTTATGGGACTTATTCTCAGTAGAATTTATTTGTTTTTTAAATTTGTCCAGGTCTGTTTTAATAGTCAAATAATTTTCAATTTCCATAATCTGTTCGTTTAAATCATTATCACTTATGGTAAAGGAGTCGTCAAATAGTTTACTCAAAAAATCATTGTCCTCTTGAATATTCATTAATGTAGATTTACTTGATGAATTACTAGCTGAATTAATAGTGTCACTTGCTTGTTGAATTTGTTTTAATTTATTTTCTTCAGTGACTTGTTTTCTCAATTGATTTTCCTCAGCACTTCTTATTAACTCCTAATACATTTGAGAAGGTATTTAAAATATGAATTTTGATTAAATTTACATTAATGAATATTTACCTTTCTCATCCCAACTGCGAAACATTTTGCAAGTCTACACTTTCTACACAAACCTCTGGTCACTGGATTGATATTACATTTTCCATTTGATGGGCAAATATATGACTAAATATTTTATTTACTATTAATAGTCTATTATATCAATACTTGAAATATAAATGGTTAATCACCTTGTTAGCAAGAGCTGTACGTCTAAAAAATGCTTTACACGATTCGCAACACATCACACCAAAGTTCCTGGCTAAATAAATAATTTTACAATTATAACTTAAGTAAAATATTATAATTTATATTAATAATAATACCAATCCCTTTTCCGCCACAGATTTGACAAATTTTGTGACACTGTTTATCATTCATTATGTTTTGACCAAAATAATCAAATAAACCTTTTTTGAGATACACAATTTATTGTTTAAAATTATTTTTTTGAAAACTATACTGTACTATTATATAAATTATAATACAATATTTACATTAGACACCATTTATAAAAAAAACTTGTTAGGCTTGTTATCGCATCATACATACAACCTTGGCGATTTATGATAATAAGTGGTAAATAATTGATGCACCTATCAAATCTGCATTTTTGGTTAAATGTTTTGGTTAATGGATTTATAAATTTATTGCATTTTCTATCTAAAATACACAGTAATGGCTAAACACATTATTATTACACTAATGATTGTACTGGTATTAAATTTAATTTAAAAATACAAAATAATAATTTATACAATCTAAGCGTTAATTATATCAGATATAAACAAAAATAGTTACATACAATTTTAAAATAAAATGACACTAATGCACTACATGATAATGAATAAACATGATATAAACCAGATATAATAAACAATTTTTTATAATTAACAGTCAGTTGTCATCAAGAAAATTAATTTCTTTCATAAGAGGTCCTAAATGTTGAGTATAAGATTTAACATAACTGGTGTGAAGTATGTGTTTAAAATTGAGTTCATTTAATTCATTCAAATCGTTTAGCGGTAACATAAGTGTTTGTAGTTTTAATAACGATTCCGATTCCGAGCGATACTTTAATAACAGATACCTTTGCAACAAATATATGTATAGTTGCTGTTCGAGTCTAGCAATGAAAGCATAATTACTGAACATGTTAATTATATTTAATAATAATGTTTTACTCACTTAACACTATGTCTATGAATTAGATTAGGTAGTTTCGGGTTGAACAGTATGATCGCGGCCAGCTAATATCAAAAATAAATTTAAGTTACATTTAAAGTAATTAAACTATAGTATATCCTTTATATACCAATTCTATAATCATGGGGTCATTGTAATCCCATTTCGATAGCAACCTATCATAATATGTTTTCACAATCTGTGCTAGGTGATCATTTTCAAAATAAATAATTTTCAAATTCACGTCAAGCGTCGTAGCGTTATCCTAAAAATAATTAAATTTTATAAAAATGCCTCGTTCATTTACAAATATTTAAAACATTCTCAACTTACAATTGGTGACATAAAACTGCCCGTCTCTTTATTGTATGATTTAAGACCTCTCAATGTAAACAAGTCTTTACCGCCGTATTTGAACAGGGTAAAGCGGTCATCATCGCAAATATTAGTATTAAAACTTTTCAAACTTTTTGAGAAATCAATGTTACTTTTAATCAAAAACTCGTTACAATAAGAAAAATCTCTCAACAATTCCTCAAAACTCTTAACTTTGTGTATAAACTGAGTTTGAGGTAAGGGTTGGTTGAAAAAGGTGGAGGCGCTCATCAACTCATTGATCCGAATGCACTCCAAATCATTAAAACCCTTATAATCTGTTAATTGTTTGAACACTGGAGTTATAGCCAATTCTTGTGGTTTGTATTGATTATCACAATCAGTATCAGTTTTAATTGTTATAACATTTTCAATGTCCACCATTTGTTCAATGAGCTCCTCATCGCTAATACTTATAATATCGTCAAATATTTCGCTGAAAAAGTCTTTTTCATTGTTTGAATCGTCAGATGAGTTGGTGGTCACCGACAGGCTATCGG